TCTAAGATAATTGAACAAAACTTCAAATCATTTCTGACACACAAGACTGGAAGCAATGAACTTCTGAGTAAATCTGAAAGCTTTTTATTGAATGTTGACTTTATATTATAAGCATCAGAGAAGGGAAAAATACGAACCAGCAAGTGATTGGAAATTTTTATATTTAAGGCATATTGTCTATTAAACACTTCAATCAGCATGTTTAGAGTGGTGCAGGCATGCTGTTCCTGTCATCCTCTTGCTGCTTTTTGGGCTGTTAAAAGCAAAATACATGGTGGTAGTCTCATAATTCTGTGTCTAACAAATGCTAATGTGATTTTTAATTACTTTTCTAAATTCCTATAAAGCAAAATAATGAAAACAGTGTCAATATTGTCTACCTTTCATATTAATACATACCTGCAAAGCTACATTTTTTTCCTCAGGCAGTAAAGCCATGCACAAGCTGTCTAAATAGATTGTAAGCAGTGGTAACTTTTCGCAAAATTGCCATCTTGATTCTACATGGCTTGTGAGCTGTCAGCTGTGGCAAAGAACGGCAGAGGTATCAGTTGCTTCTTTTACACTTCTTAAGGAGATGAACTTTTACAAAATTGTTTTGTGTTAAAGGCTAAGAACTACAGTTCTGACTAAAGTTTTCCTTTGTACTCATTTTTTCCTAATGCTTTGTCATGATTTGCTGCAACAAAACAGATGCACTTAACTGCATGATTGTTTAGAGAGCTGTATGCCTTCCTTAGACTCTTCTACTATTGGATTATATCTAAGATGACTTGGAGGCAGCATTTACTTTCTGGTAGCATTTAAAAGACAACCGATATTTACTTTCTGGTAGCATTTAAAAGACCACCTACGAATTTGTAAGGGTTAGTGAAAAATCAATAATAACTGATGTTCTTGTAACATGCCTGCAGTGTGGAAGGTAAGTCGGGAACAAAAGGTTACTTTCTTTGAATTAAGTGGAGAGTCTTGTAATGTATACTAGAATTGCTCAATTTCATGATGGACAACAGTTTTGAAATATATCCTGTAAGTTCTATAAACATTTCACTCTTTCTTCCTAGCAAACTGAATGGTCAATTGAACTCAGGATTGAGATATTGGATTACATTTTCTAAAATCATATCAGGAAATGCCTTTGATCTGTCACCATTGGATTACATTTTCTAAAATCATATCTGGAAATGCCTTTCATCTGTCACCAAAAAAAAAGTATTCTAGAGCTGCTTCTTGTTTTTGTTGCCTTATTATTCCAAAAGTTGTATCCTAACAGTGAAAGAACACAAATTTAACTGTACAGAAAATGGAGACTACACTGATTGGATTTGAAATTATACCAAAAAAAATCAGTTAAAAAAAGTAAAACATAATGTAATCCTTTCTAATGTTTTAAACATGATTTTGCAATATGTGGGAAAACTCTTCCTTATATTTCTCAGATAGAACCCAAAGAAGAGTAAAGATCTGGGCCATGATCTCTTACATATCCTTGAAATAATCTTTGGTTAAAATACCTGACTATTTCAGCGAGTGAAATTTGAAAGAAACCATTTTGGTTAAAATACCTGACTATTTCAGTGAGCGAAATTTGAAAGAAACCGTAAAAGAAGATATGTAATATTTCTCTTAATCAGAAATAATACTTGTGTTACATTATGTGCAGATGATTTCCTGTGAACTTAATTTATGAAAAACAATCTGAAAACACAGAAAGGAAGAATTTTCTATATAAAATAGCTCTCTCTCAAAATTGTGTTATCTGCATTTGTAAGACTGTCATTCCAGCATTTCTAGTTTAATGAGTTTTCATGTCCAGGTAAAATTCTCAGATAAAGTGTTTTGGCAAGTTTCTTGAGATCTCATTTTCAGGGTATTTCAGAACGTTGGCATGTATCTTCTCACTTCTTGGTTATTGAATGTAATCGTGTTCCTACTGATATTGCAGAAAAATTTATATCCTTTGCAAAGGAATTGATGCATCTTAAAAAGGATGTACCCTGATTTGGCACTCTTGTTAGATGTCTTGGCAAAAAAAAGACAAGAGATGCAATTTGAAAGTCTTACGTGCTAATGTATCATTTTTAAATATAGAAGGATTTTGTTCCTCAGAATGTTTCAGTTAGGTCTTTAATTCCAGAGGTGAGAGACATATAATGGCTGGAAGTGGTGTAGCACTGAGTTGCACCATTTACTTCTTGATGGATTCCCTATGAAATTCCTGAGTTATGTGCTAGGTTCTTCACATAGTGAAAATGCCAAGGTCTTCAAGCCTTAGCAATTTAGCCTGTGAGCCATTAGGGAATATTAAATTAAATCTTGCCCTTTTGAAAAATTCCAGGGTTAATTTAAGTTTATAATCATGACTGCAGTTCTGATGTTAAGCAGCAGCACTTTCTTAAATAAAAAAAGAAAAATTTAAAGAGAACTGAATATTTTCCTTCAAAGTATATTTAGATAAGGAAGTATAGTTTCCTGCTTTCTATGCAATGCTCAGCAAATATACCTTATGCATGAAGATCTGACGTTGCACTCAAACCATTCAATTAGGAATTTTAGCTGCTTCATTCATGCAATGAAAACCATAAGTTCTATCTAGGATGTCAACCCAGTGCACCGGAACATTTTTAGCAGGGATTGTCAATGAGTGTCCATTGCAGAGGTCACTCCAACCAGAAATGCCAGACTTTGGCCCTGAAAGACTTCTACTTTCTTCTTCTTTGGACTCACAATGTAAACTTTTCTTAGTTTCACGTGGTTAAACACTTTCTATTATAAACTGAGTAGGTAACATTCCTTTGTTTCAAACTCAGCAGGAGAAAGGAATTCTTCAAAGGAAGAGTGTCACAGCCAGCATAAGATTACCCTTTCCTTCCTACCTGCCTATTCCTTTATTCATGCAAAGGATTAAGGAAAAAGACATTTGCCAGAATTTGGTGGACTCAGGTTCAGTTCTAACCCATGACTGAGATAACTCATGTTTGCACTCTTCTGCACAAATCAAAATTTTATATTGAAGTCTTCATTGAAAGAGGAACTACCCCGAAGACTTTCCTCTGCCACTGTGTGATCTCATTCCTAATCTACAGAACAGCCCATGTTCTCCCTTTCTTCCTTTCTCCTGCTCTGCCTCTATTAGCTGCTTCCACACAAAGTGGAATAAGTTCAATAGGCAGAAACTGTAAGTGTTTTTACCTTGAAATGGTCTAATGCCTGTAGGTTACAGCCATTTACTAAGACACTGAAGCTTAAATCTCCTCTGGCAGAAGACACTATTAAATCAACCCTCTCAAATGTGTCTCATATTCAGCTCTAATGCTGCAGCTGATGACTGGCTGCACACAAGAATGGTGTAATATCTGCCATGTGTCCTTCTGTAGCAGTTGCCACATTTTTTAAGGAACTTGATTTGTTCAGTCCTTTCAGTGCATACCTATTGGATTGATCACCTTATGCATGAAAAATCTGAGTGTGAATTCTGATGGGATCTAGGACTAAGCCAAGCACCAATGTGTTTAACAGAATTTCTGCTATTGCCAAGCAGCAAGGCTATAAAGTTTAATGTGGAAAACTGAGTGCTTTCAGCACTGGAGGTTGGAAGCTAAATGCAGACTTTTATAAACACAGCTTCAATTTAGGTCCCCAAAGAATCAGGTAGGGTGAGATGCAAAAGTGTTTTCTGGATCTACTCTCCAAACCCCAGGTTTGTATGAATAATGGAGATATAACTGTTCAGAAATAAAGCAGAGTTCTTATTTGAGAGATAAATTAGATGATTATATACTGACTACCACTAATCACACAAAATCAAACAATGATCAAGAGACAGTTGTAGGAATTGTAGGTGCTTTGTTGTTCTGGGGTTTTTTTGTTGTTTGGTCAGGGGGGTTGTTTGTGTGCCTGTTTTTTGTTTGTACGTTTGACTTTTTTCCAGATATCTCCATGGATTGGAGATTATTTATTAAGAGAGAAAAATGGAAAGGGCTAGATTAGATTATACCTCAAATTTGGTTTGTGTGAGGGCAATTGTCAGAGGCTTGGCATAATGTCTCAGGTTTTGGGGATGTGTCATTTAGTTAGTACATTTCTCCATTAGCTGGAAAACATTTGGGTTAAAGAATATGATACAAGTGGTTAACTCATACACCCCAAAACTGAGATTTCCTTACTTCCATATTTCATCCATACTCCAATTCTCATGCTGAGGCAAGGCTAATTGCTCAGCAAATGAAGTTGAGAATTCAGTCAGACTGAGGGAATGAGGAGGTGTTATTTTACTTTTCAAATTTCTTGCACTGCAAAGTAGTAAAGGAGCTTTGAGGTTCTATCTTTTGATGAAAATATTAATAAACCTTTTTTCTAAGAATATGCTTATCATAAATATCAGTGAAACTGAATTTATTTTTTTTTTCCAAACACGTACGCCACAAATGATAACCAGTAGTGGAACATGTGTTTATATACAGAACACATTAAAAATATCGTAATAGGTAATAGTTTTCAATAATGGAACTGGATTTTAACAGTATTTACACATGAATTTAGGTAAGATTCTTTTACCAAAACTTGTTTTGTTGAGAAGCACATTAAAGTCATATAGAAATGAAATTGTTGTTTTGAAATATGGAGAAGGAGATTTTACTGAATACCTAACATACATCATTACATTTAGGTGCTATACTGTAAGGCTAACCTATGTTAACAGAAAGTCTGCTGGAAATATTATTATGTATCATACGCATCCATAGGCAGTAACTGGCAGATGAATAATTGTAGAGACAAGATGATTTTTACATTGAGTCATCACAGTTTCATAAATAATTTTAATTATCATGTGATGCATATTTTAAAGACAGCAATTTGTTTAGAGCTCCAGGCTGAGACAAAACAAACTTACAGGACTGCCGAGGCTGTGCCAATACAGTGAATCTGCTCCTAGGCATTGCAGCTAGACATTTCTTACAACTGGTTTTTTTTTCTTGTTCCTCTATTTCCCTCTGTAGAGGTCCTTCTGTAGTGCCATGGTAGAGGAGCTAAGGATGTCTCTGAAGTGTCAGCGTCGATTAAAACACAAGCCACAGGCCCCTGTTATTGTGAAAACAGAAGAAGTTATCAACATGCACACGTTTAACGACAGAAGGTTGCCAGGTAAAGAAACCATGGCATAGAGCTGGGAAGCCAAATGCCCCAAGCACAAACTGTCGTCTTTTTTCCAAACAACCTTGCGAGAATGTTTCCTGTGGAAATATGCAACAAGTGCAAACTAAAATGAGTTACCTCATGCCGCTGTGTCTATGAACTAGAGACTCTGTGATCTCAGCAGTTGCAATGGCCAGACTCGAATCACAAGCATCATGGATCAACCAAGTTATGCAGGGTTACACTGTTCGTCATGGGTTTCCACCATTCTGAATGAATGAATGTTCCATGTGAGTTTTGTGGCTGGTTTCAAATGCAGTCTCAGTGAGAAGTTACAGGTTCCTTTTGAAGTTCAACGGTTGCCAGGAGATGGAGAATAAATGTCCAAGATGATAGAAACCACAGAAGGAGTCTAGTAAAATTAATATCTCTGAACTGTAGTGGAACAAGAAACCATATGTTCTTCTGAACTTCCCAGCACAGAAGAGTTGGTGACTGCTAGTAGGCTGAAACTACCATCTGGACAGGCAATATGAGCTTCCTGGATGGAAGAAATTTTAAAGGTGAAGAAACATGAATCCCATGAATAGAAGGATAAATATGGGGATGCTCACCTACTTTTTTTGGACTGCCTGTGACACTGAACTAAGTAAATAAGTAATAATTAAAAAAAAAAAAAAAGTAACTTAAATTTAACTGGGTTGGAACTTTGATCTAAAAAAAATGACAAAAATATTTCCATAATTTTGACCCACTTTTTAGATGAATGAAAGTTTCCTTAGTACAAAGGAATGTATCTTACAACCTTTAGATATAAGCAATTACTTTTTTTTTTTCTATAATTGTGAAAAGAGGGAGGGGGGTGGGAAGCAGTGTATTTCACACATAGAGGGCTTGCATTTTAGCCTGAATGGGGTTTGAAACCCATGTTCCTGCTACTAATTGAACTCAATGGAGCCTGTGCAATTCTCGCTAATGTTGGAAGTGGGATGGGTCACCTAAAAGAAGTGAATGTCAAGAACTTTAAAGGAGGACTGCATTATTCAATACAGTCACAGTACTAAATGAACAAAATTCTTGAGCAGTTTTTTTTTTCCAAAAAAAAAAAAAAAATGTTCAGGTTTATTTGTGGAAATGCAAGATTTCTATGAAAATAGTTTTTGTATGGAAATTTTTGTAATACTTTTTATCAACAAAATAAGAACATGTGTTTCTGTCAGGGGTGTGATGCCAAGCATGAGTGGTAGTGCGTGCGCACCACCAACGTTTGGTGAAAACTATTTTTATCATGAAAAAGGAATCTTAGAAGAGACATATTTTCAAGTTAGATAATATAAAAAATAGGTGCACTACCACCACTGCTTACCATGCTACACCCCTGGTTTCCACTAAGCTGATAACATGCTGTCATGAACAATTGTGTGTAAATGGTAAAAGACACAGACCTCTTGACCACATTGTGATAAAAGTTAAAGTGCACTCAGTTTGCTGTTTGAATCCAATGCACAAAATTATTAAAAAAAAAAGAAGAAAAAAAAGAAAAAAGAGAAAAAGCATTAAGTTTACGTCGGTTTTAGTTGTTTTGTTTTTGCTGTATGATTCGAGCAACATATGTACAGTACTTTGTGTCAGTACTGGTACTTAGCTTCAGCTTAGTGCCCTATCCTGACAATTCTTGGCACTAAATGTGTGGTAAGAATGTTTGCTGGGATTTCTGAGAGAAGCCAGTACAGCACATTGTGATAAGATTTGCAGGATCTGGCTCTTAGCTGCTTCAAAGCTAATTTAATATGTCCTGACTGTGGTGAGTTCCTGGACATACCATTTTGAAATACTGCCCTACTGATGCTGAATCTTGCACCTCTGTCTACTGTAAATTTATTTGTATCTCAACAAAAAAATGTATAGGACGGATGATGTAGGAATGTTCTGTCAACCAAAAAAAAGATTATGAGATGGTCTTTACATAGAAAAGAATTCATTTGACTAATTAAACTAAAACAACAAAACAAAACGTTGAAATTATCATAGATAATCCATCATTGGTGAGTAATGAGATAGTTTGTTTACTGGGGCTTAATTTAATCTTATCACCATCTTTATAGCACAGGAGTGTGAGAGATATCATTCAAATTGTAGAAATTATATAATGAAATTCAGGGGGAAGGGGGAGGTTTGTGTCTACTACCCAGTTATCATAAATCTTCATAGAGATTGAGCTGGCCATTTCCATTGTGAGCAGGGACTGAGAAAGCAAATTCTCTTATATTTGTGAGAGTTTCATCCCCATTTATGTGATAACAAAGAACAGGTTGTCTTTGTCTGAAGTATAAACAAGATAAAAACACCTTTAGCAATTATTCTGGAAATGAGTATGTTTACATAATTCATATTTAAGTTTATTCTTTAAAACACAAAGGGCAGAAAAGTAACTGTCATACAACACAATGAAAACTCATAATTATGATGGCTTGGAATGGAAAAAAAATTGGCTATTGCATTTGATTGATGATTTACAATAAAATTTGTAAAATCATGTAATAAAATGCTGTATTATATCCAAAAAAACCCTTTCTTTTCTCCATTAAGGATGTTGAAATAAGCAGGATTTCATTCTCACCTGACTAACTCTCATTAAGCTTTATGTGAGCCAAAGTAACTGTGAATACAGAATATGTCCCAAATATTCTATTGAGTCAAAGTCTCCCAAGGAACAAAACCCCCGTCACAGAAGTAATGTGGCATAATTAAGATTTCAGTGAGAACCTCAGCCTGTGATTATTAGAGGAAATATGCCTTAAGATTTCAGTGAGAACCTCAGCCTGCGATTATTAGGGGAAATATGCAGAGTAACTGAAGATTTGTACTTGAGGTCAAGACTAGAAATGCATGGTTCCACAGATTCATGGTAGGATAATGGCATTCTTTAAAAAAATCATACACTAACTCATGCTGTTACTTTGTTGTGTATTAGTAATTATTTCTTTATTAAGACATTTACAGAAAATTGACTAACAAGACCTGACTCCCAAGGCAGTAGAAAATACTACTGGTAATTTTGTACTCCAAAAAGCTCAATGGTTCATTTTCCTTTCACTGTTGTGAACAAAATCCTAAGTTCTGAAGAAAGCTTCCTCATTTTGAAAGGCCTCTGAAAGGCTAGCCCCAAATTCCCAAATTCTCATGTAGTGTAAATTTCTATAGTACCATTAAAACTGATGGAACTGCATCAGCTAAAATCAAGTGAGTATCTGGCCCATGAAGATTCAGAATCTGTACAGAACTGGCTTATGTGGTTTCATATAATGGCTTAATTAGTCTGCTGATTTCCCAGGACAGGACAATGAGTGCTTCTCTTTCTAGAGAAGACTTTTAAAATAGTTATAACTCAGTTATATGGTGCTACCTGTTGGATGACAATTGAAGATAAAAGCTTAACAGGACCTTCCCTCCCCCCCATCTGATTCAAGGAAAATAGACATCTATATTCTTTAGGAATTCTCAAGACACACAATTTAGATCTTCAGGTTGCCTCAGCATGGTTGTATAGCAATAGATACCTATGTGGATTTTACAAAACAAATGACAAATCCCCCTCTATCTTATTTATAAATGTTGTTTGTGAAGGACTGGTGGTGAAAATTGTGAGCCAAAGAGTTGGATAGCATCAAGAGTATAGCAAATGAGGAATTGTCCAACTACAGACATCAGCAGGCCATTTCATACCAGTCTCCTATAACATAAACATAAGTACAGACATATCCAGGGAGTATCTGGCAGGTTTTATGTGACATTTAGCTTTCTGAAGTTTCTATCTCATTTTTGCAGTTGAAGAATTCAGTATAGGTTTGAAATAACATTTTTTTTTTCATTTTAGTATTTCTTGAGACTCTGTGCATTTAATCATTCCTGATTTCATCCATAGTGTTCCCAAAACCCAAAATAACACTGTTTAGTTCTACTACACTAACTAGTTAATATTTCAGAATGGAAAAAACCATAATTTATGAAGAAAAAAACCCACACCAAAATCCAAAGCCTCAAATAGAAGTAGGAGAAATGCCCTCATCGTCTACAAAATAAAAATGTTTTCAGGGGAAAGGGGTCATGAGCAGAGGCAATGGCATATAAAGAAGTAAAAGATAATGGTATAAAATAATTTTTGTATTATTATGTTAAGAATATTAGAAAAAAATATAAAGTACTTCAGACACAACTACACTTAGTCTCCGTCAATAATCACAAAATCTGATGATTGAAATACTGACTACTTTGAAAGAAGTGTCAAAACTTCTACTTCAAAGGAATCAAGATTTTGTCCAATACAGCCCCAAATGTGTACTGACATACTATTGAAGGCAAAATTAGATGTACTGAAGCAATTGTGTTTTTCTGTCATAATTTCAAAAACGTGTAGGAAAAGAAAGGGTCGCTGAGGTTGGCTTCTCTGACATACAAGATCATTGCTTTCCAACCTCAAATCTGTTAGTGTCCTGTTCTCTTCCAGTCTTGCCTCTCTGCCTTCCTACAAGCTCCTCTGACACTATAAAACTTATTTTCAAAGCCCTTTTCTTCTGGCTTTCCTATAGGGTATAGTTCTAATTTGAAATAAAGCTGCTCAAACACCTCATCTCCCCAGTTTGTATCCACCAAGAAAAACACATAGGCTTTTCATGTGACTGTAATCTAATTGTCTTCTTTTCATTTACTACCCCTCTCTGTCCCCTGCCTGTGTTATCTTCTCCTGTTGTTCTTGTACTTGCCTAGACTGTAAGCTCTTAGGGGGCAGGGAATCTGTCTTTGGTTTGTTCTATGTAGCACCATGAACTATGGAGCTATATAAATAATAAAAAATGTAGATCTTCTTAAACGATGTTTGAAGTGATAGTGCTCTGATCGACTGCCAGTCTAGTAATATATTGGTTTAGCTCATTGCCTGAAATCCTAATCACTGCAGCAATAGAATAATAAAAAAAAAAATTAAAAAAAATAATTAATGAAACCAACCCAAAGGAGATATCACACTGCCTCATCTTACTGGAATTTCCCCTACATGGTCGGGGTAGAGGAATCATGTTCACATACTTTCTATAAAGGTTTTAATATTAAATCAGCTACATTAAAAATTAAAACCAATAGGTTCACACATATGTACAGGATGAGGTTTGGTAAGAGGAATTTTAATTGGATTAAACTTGGAAAAGCTATGATTAAGAGATCTGTTAAGTTGAACTCCAGGCATGTTGCCTTCCTTCACATTATCCAACCAGTTAGATCAACAAGCCTCTCATTGCCATAATCTATGGCAATACTATTTCATTAATTATTTTATGGACATCATTAGAACTATTCTATGAAATATAATTCTAATCAAAATTAAAGAACTGCTTCTTCTTGTTTCTATTCA